TGGTGTGTGGGGAAGGAGCTATGACGAACTAAAGCAGCATCTCAGTCAACCGCCGGAGTCGAGAGGGCCCTGCTGCGAGACTCTAACACCTTCTTATATCTCCATCTCCAAAGAAGGCTCATCAAGCAACAGTAAGGAGCCGTAGGTTTGAGGCTTTAGACGCTTTAGGGTTTCAGTCGTCCACTTAACCCTAAACTTAGTTGTAGGACCTTGGGGTCTTCTGGGGGCGTTTCTTGAGGCCGTGACTCGCATGAAGGACACAGCGCGGGTCTTAGACACCGAGGTCTGTCCCAGAAGTGGGGCCTGGGGGGCTCAGAGCTTAAGTTTAACACCAAGGCTTCCAGGGACCTTGTTATTGGGTCCTTAAGGGGTCTAGGGCCCCACAGAACTATAAGGTCCTTGGAGGCATAGGCTTAGGGATTACGATTTAAGGAGTTTTGGGTTTAGAGTTTCGAGCATTCAAGCTGCAATTGCAAACTATTTCTTGTTGAACCACGCAGAGTGTATTGTGATGGTTCCCGACATTCAGCTACTTCATACTCTGAATCATGCAACTGAAGCCTCACAAGGCCTGTGGCCCTGATGGGCTTTCGCCCGACTTGCTCCGTGTCTGCCCTGCTGCCACGGCACGTTCTTTTGCGCCGGTTGCTCTCAAAACCACACTTGCTCTCAGGGAGCCTATCGAGTTTCGGGGTGGTACACTTACTTGCCTGGCAAAGAAGATTGGGGCTTCGCTTCAGTGCAGCCACTACAGGTCTATCCTCATCTCTTCCATTCCGGCAAAAATCATGCACAGGCATGTTCGCAACCTCCTTGTTCCTGTACATGCGGCCCAAAAACCTGCCTTGCAGCTTGGGGCTCTTGGAGGCATAGGTATTGAGGCGGTTGCTTTAGTTGCCCGGAGTTTTCAGCTATACTGTCACACCCGTCGCTTGCCGTGGAGCCTCCTTTTCGTTGATGTTCAGGCAGCATTCTACAGGGTAGTGCGCCAAGCGTTGACTCCGCACCAAGATGACGACACTGAGCTGTTGCGGATCTTCCATCGCATGGGCCTACCTCCGGAGGCTGTAGTTGCTTTGCGTCAGCAATTGCAGAGCCTTGCCATCCTTCCTTCGCTTGGCACACCCACGCAGGTCGTCGCCATGGTGCAAGACATGATGCGTGCAACATGGTTCCGCATCGACAACCATGCCATACTCACCATGACAGCATGTGGCACGCGCCCAGGCGATCCAGCGGCGGATATGCTGTTTGCGCTGGCATTTGGCGAGTTTTTGAAATCCCTTGATCTCACTCTTGCCCTGGAAGGGCTGCTTCCCTGTCTGCCCAAAACAGACTGCCCACCTGCCTGGGCTCAGAACTCTGATGGGGAGACTCTTGGTGCTCCTGCGTGGGCAGATGATTTCTTCCTGCCTCAAACTGCGGACTCTTTCGTGGATCTAGTCTCCCGCACGCGTCGCACTGTTGAGCACACCACCGCTCGGGCCACGTCGCTCGGCATGAAGTTAACATTCGCCCCTACCAAGACTGCGGCACTCCTTCCGGCCGGACATGATTGGGCTTCGTTATCTTCAGATGTGGTTTTAGCAGAGGACTGTCTCAGTATCGCCTTTGTTGACCCGATCACACAGGAGGGTCATAACCTTCCAATTGTCCATTCCTATCGACATCTGGGAGGGATTTTGACTTCCACTGCAAATCCGAGGCCGGACCTGCTACTGAGACAGTCACAAGCTTTGGGATATGTCAAGCCGCTACGCAAGCAGCTCTTTGCCAATAAGGACATTCCGCTGAAAGTACGTGCTACTGTGCTACAGGCTTTGTCAGGCTCCCGCTTGGTGCATTCAGCTGCAGCTCTTGTTCTGCCTGCCAACATTCACCGACGTATGTGGGATCGCGCGTATCTCCAGGTTTTGCGAGCTTTGACTCCCAGGCACTCTGTCGACAAGCAGCTTCACAGTGTTGACGTTTTGCGCCTTGCTCAGGCGCCGTCTCCGCCGCTCGCGCTTGCTAAGGCAAGAGCCGCGTTTTTGAAGCAGCTTACACTGCACGGACCCGCCGTCCTTCGCCATACCCTTTACAAGTACTGGGTTGGCCACCCTCGCACCTCCTGGCTTCAGCAGCTCGCTGAAGATATTCAGCTTGTCAATGCATACGTGCCCTCTTCGGCTCTTGTCTTTCAGGGTCGGAAGCACGTTGAAGTGCTCCTCGAGAGTCTCGTTGAGGATGCAGGGTGGTGGCTGCGACAAGTTAAGCAAGCACATACTGCTTTTCTCAAGGATCTGGATCGTGCACGGGATGTTCCCAAGCAGCGCGTTGACGCGGCTGAGCCACCGCCCGTCCCAGCCCCCCGGACCTATGTCTGTTTTCACTGCCAGGCCGCCTTTCCTCTTCGCAAGCATCTAGCTGCACATCAGGCGCGCAGTCATCAGATTTGGAGCCCGGCACGGCACTTCGCATTTGGTCCCTACTGTTTGGCCTGTCACAAATGGACCGGCGATGTCAGATCCATTCAGATCCACCTCAAGCGTACCGACGCTTGTCTCCGTCGCATGTGCCTCTTGGTACCCCCCATGACCACCGCACAGATACGGGAGGTTGAGTTCGAAGTTGTACAGCAGGAACGTCAGCTTCGCCGCGGTCAGTGGATGTCATTCAAAGGCCGTGCACAGCCCTCTGTGGCCTTTGGACCACGGACACCAACAGCCGACGAGAGACTCGCCGGGCTGGATTTCTTGTCCGAGGAAGTTACGTTAGACGTGTTTCAGCCTCTTTACAGGCCTACGTCCTCTCTTGTTGATTGGGTTGAGACTCATATCGCCGATAGATCTGTTGAAGGCCCGCAACAAACTTCCAAGTCCTACTGGCACAGAGGCCCCTTTTGCATGTCTCACCAGAATTTGTACAGTTTTGGGATGCGCCGCGAATAGCGGCTCGACGGATCCGAAGACAAGACAAGACAAGGCCCCCGCCCCCCCCGTTCCTTTCTTCGAGACTTCATGAAGCCTGGAAAGGGTTTAGGGCAGTTTAGGCTTTAGCGCAGGGCCCAAGACTCCTGTATTTCAAGAATACGTCTGAAACCATCTGAAGCTTCTATGCCTGCACGACTTCATCATACGAATTTGTGTTTCTTGCTCCCGGACTACCGGCTTTCTCCAGAGGTTTGGGGCCGAGGGAGTTCTGGAGAGAGAGAATTTCAGTGGCTCCTGAGCCTAAAAGCTCTAAACCTTGTAATCGTAGAGCTGTAGCTGGACTTGAACTGAGTGGTGTGTGGGGAAGGAGCTATGACGAACTAAAGCAGCATCTCAGTCAACCGCCGGAGTCGAGAGGGCCCTGCTGCGAGACTCTAACACCTTCTTATATCTCCATCTCCAAAGAAGGCTCATCAAGCAACAGTAAGGAGCCGTAGGTTTGAGGCTTTAGACGCTTTAGGGTTTCAGTCGTCCACTTAACCCTAAACTTAGTTGTAGGACCTTGGGGTCTTCTGGGGGCGTTTCTTGAGGCCGTGACTCGCATGAAGGACACAGCGCGGGTCTTAGACCGAGGTCTGTCCCAGAATTGGGGCCTGGGGCTCAGAGCTTAAGTTTATATAACCAAGGCCTCCAGGGACCTTGTTATTGGGTCCTTAAGGGGTCTAGGGCCCTAACTATAAGGTCCTTGGAGGCATAGGGTTAGGGATTACGATTTAAGGAGTTTTGGGTTTAGAGTTTCGAGCATTGGTCAGCTCGGCATGACCGAGCCAGTTCAAGCTGCAATTGCAAAATAAATCGTGTTGAACCACGCAGAGTGTATTGTGATGGTTCCCGACATTCAGCTTCTTCATACTCTGAATCATCAGTGGGGACGCAGAGACATTGGGCTTGTAGTGAGTGGTGATTTATGATGGAGCTGGATTGTGGACAGTGGAAGGCCTCGCAGTTCTTTTGTTGACTTCTGGCATATCTGGGGATCGAAAAACCGGTTGTTTCGAGGACAATACCCTAGAGTTGAGGGGTCTCCTGAGTCTTCTGAACCGAGAATCGGAGTTGCAAATGCCTCCTCACGCAATGTTGGTAAGGACCGATCTTGATAGGTTTTCAGCAAGTAAGCTGTAAAGGGCAGGCCTTTGGGTTGCAAAGGGCCAGCAACTTGAAGACTGCAGGGGCCTTTGTGGGCTCCATGTTCTTCCAGTTCCCTCATGGGAGCCATCAGTAGACCTGCCCCCCACCCGCGAGGTAGCGCTCCATTTCCGCCAACTTCTACGCAGCTGACAAGCATAGCTCCCGCATTCTGGCGAGAATGAAGGCCGCTTAGCAGGGAAGGCCTCGCAGTTTTTGATTGAGCTCCCTTGAGGCCGTAGCTGAGGAGTTCAAGCGGCTTCTGACCTTGTGCTGATTTCTGGCGGAATGGCACCAGGGGGGTATACTTCTTTACATATCAAGCGTCCCTGAAACAGTGTTCATTGTGCTATCCCGGGTTAACATCAAAGTTACGGTTCCTGAAGTGTTTGCTCTGTTGATGTCTTCTAGTTAAGCCGGAGACAGAAGAAGCAAACTGTCGACGGCAGTTGCGGCTTGCTAAAGGATCGCAGGCTGTTCCTTCACCATTGTGATGCAGACTCCCCGGATTCTCCTAAAAGATCGAATCAAATGTCATCTAACCTACAAAAATCCCTGCCCCCGAATAGTACTAAAGGGAGGCCCCACCCCCAATAGAATCTCGAAAAATGCTGTTGTTATGAGGGTGGCATCTATCCCTACTGTCACTTTGGGGAGGATCTTCCGCTTGCTGCTGCTCTTGCTCATGAGCCTCCCTAATTCAAAACAGGAGTAACAGGCGCGTGTGATTTCAGTGGGATTTCCTTTCCTTTTCTGTTCTTAATTCTGTAGGAGAGTTGTACAAAAAGTGGAAGTGTTTAGAAGTAGGGGATTCAGAGGGCTGTAGCGTCCAACACCGGTCGCGGCCGCCGTCCGAAGTCTCAAACTCGGATCCTTCCTTTGCTGCGAGCGGCGGCCACTGTCATGGGCGTCCTGGCTTGGCTGCTGGAGGGCTTTGGGGTTTAGGGGTTGGCAAAAGGGGTTGAGGGTCTGGTGGTTTACGGGTCCTTCTATCCGGTTGGATATGTTTTTTCCCAGGACCCCTGGTGTGGTCCTTGAGTCGGAAGCACGGATCAGCTAGTAATCGGTCTCCTTACAGACTCATGACACGGTGGTTGCCGAGATCCAGCTGCATTGAGCTACTGTAGCTGCGACGACGGCCGCTGTCCTATATGAGACGGGTGTAGAGTTTCGGGATGCTTCGTCATATTCTAAGCCCATGCTGCAAAGGGATGTGTAGTGTTCGTGGCTGTCGCTGTTCCCTTCATCAGACTCTAACAGGTGTGCTTCCGGGTCGAACGAATGCAACTTGAAACCATAGCAGTCGCGGTGTCGCGCCGGCTACTCGAAGCAGAACTTGCAATGCTGCAAGCCCTCGTCCTGATGGGATTCCGAAAGATCCTTCCATACTGAGCCGAACTCCAACCATGCCCAGCTGATTTGGTCGGTTTGAGGTAAAGATTTCCAGCTGCGCCTTTTGCCGTGGGTCCCAGAGGCCTTGCTGCCAAACCATGTCAGCCACGCCCGTTGTGTGTTTCCTTTGAGTGGTGCCCAAGGGGGGGAGGGGTTATGGCGATTACTATAGGGGCCTCAATAACTACCAATACTATATTGGTGGTTCCTTATTAGAAGCATAGTATAATGGGCCCCAGAACCCCTATTCTAATTAGTAAAATACTATTTTGGGGGCTCCTTATTACAATTCTAGTATTACTAATTGTTAAGGCCCCTGCATCATGGTTTGGGCCTCAGGGCCCGGTCTGCAGGATGCTGCAGGCTTCTACGGGATTTAGGCTGGACAATGCCAGGGCTGGCTGTCAGCCTGTTGCAAAAGGACTTGCTAGCAGCAATAGCATGTAAAGCGCGTCTGCCCCGTAAGAAATTCAACTCGCTCCGGCTAGACCGGCTAGAATCTAGAGCAGGGTAGCTTTAGTTCCAACAACGTGTTCAATACTAGTCTCCAGAATATGCAGTAGCCCATTAGGACCTTACTGTATATTGAAGCAAGGGCCAAGCACTCTAATATTTTAGCAACCCCCCAACCACCCTGCCGAACCGTTACTCAACACCCCATATATATATACACATCATAATATGTTCATATATATATATATATATACACACATTATGCAGCTGGACCGGCCCTGGGGAGAGGCCTGCATCATCCCGGATGACGACATTCAGCTGCTCGCAGATGGCCAGCATCCAGATCCCAATCATGTGCTCGGAGTACAGGCCTCCTTCCATGCTGCTGTGCGTTTGAGGATGTGGTCATGCCCAGTTTCTTTGCAGGTTTGTTTGAAAGTGTTGGGGTCCAAATGCTTGTCTAGCTCATCCAAGAGAGGCCCAGGAAGCAGAGTTATGGCAGTCAGCGGTGGCATGCGCCAAGTGACCAAGTGGAACAATCGGCAGGAGCAAGGTAGAGGTCCACGCAGTGATGTGGCTGCTTGCAGGTCATTGGCTCCAACGTCATCCTGCGGTGTTGGATTAGCGGAGCAGAAGCCGTGTCCGTGACGAATACCGAGGCGGCAGAGGGGAGTGCAAGTTAGCCTGAAACAGCTGTGGCCGAAGGTGGATCCAGAAGCTTGAGCCAATACTAGTTACTAGTACGAATAGTGTCAACAATGAGCTTCAGAGTGAACACTGAAACAGACTCTTTGCTTAGCAGTTCCTACTCAAAAGCTGTCCGATGCAAAGCTGCATCACCATGCATGGACAACTTGCTGGATGGGGAGCAGTGCAGAAGAGCTCCAAATCTCCACAGCAGCGAAGCCCTTCAATTGAAGGCCCATACATCCCGAATTTTGTTTAAAGTACCATAAGAAACCCCACTGCATACTACAGATCCCGATTATGGCAACTTAAATTAAAGTGTTTGCAGGAGGTGTTTCTGCCCGAGCTCTCCGATGCCCGCGAGGATCCCCCGGAGCAGGCTGGGAAGAGCTCGAGCAAACCATTCCTCCTTTTTTTTCGAGGGTTTATGAAAATCCTTTAAGACGGCCGGATTTTCGAACGGAAACCAGCCGTTAATTCGACGTCATGTTGTGGATCTGAAGTACTGTATGCAACTATGTTTGTCGTTTGTACACAGCCGGTTGCTTGCCGCTTCACGGGCTCCAGAGATTTCTGGTTGAAGGTTTCCAAAGGCCTGAAAATACTTACATACGCAGATATGTATCTATATATATATATATATATATAATATAATATAATATAATATAATATAATATAATCTAATCTAATCTAATATAATATAATATAATATAATATAATATAATATAATATAATATAATATAATATAATATAATATAATATAATATAATATAATATAATATAATATATAATATATATATATATATATATATATATATATATATATATATATGTTTTATACATATGTGTATACATATTTTCTACATACATGTATACATGTATAATATGTATGTGTATACATATTATATACATACATGTATAGATGTATTATGCAGTGTTCTATTGAGATAGTCCTACAGAAAGGCCAGTACCTCGCCTGACTTGGTCGAGTGCGAGTGCGAAGATATGCAGTGTTCAGGAGTTGTTGTCCAGCTTAGTGCTTCGGGCAGGCTTGGTGAGCTGAAATCATTATCTGAGTGCATTTTGGATTGTGCTGCACATGTTGTTGCTTGAGCCGAACATGTGCATCAGCTGCCGTTTCCTCTCAAGCCAAAATAGCCAACAGAACACTGGAGTACCTGAGTCGCAGGAGTTTCCTTTTTCATCCCACCCTACCCTCCCTAATACAGGGCTCAGCCCTCCCTAGAAATTATCTGCACCAAAAAAGCGAGTTCGCAGGTGTACTCTTCGGAGAGCTCCCTAGTTGCGGAGAGGCATTGTATGCCGGGAGTTACGTCGAGCCGTACGAGGTACCGTGTACAGAGTTCCCGTTTAGCGGGATTCTGAGGGCGATCGGTGGGATATGTTGGACGGGTTCGTCCCTGAGCTATCGGCAGAAGCCGATCCGATCAGAGGCAGACCTCGAGTCGAGGATTCCAACGCACTATGGGCCTCGTCCCATGAAATGAAAAAGGTCCGAGTGCTCTGAGAGAATGTTTAATGGATTCCAGGGCCAGGTGCGGTGTCATGTGTCTTTTTGATGTTGCATTGTGCTCGGTTTCCGTCCTCTGGTCTGCAGAGTGTTTTACCTAAAGCTTAGGAGCTGCAGATGCGAATCCGGAGCAGTGACAGGGAAGCGAGGCATCAGAACCTTTCCTTCAGACCCCCACAAGAACAATGGACCCCTCATGGTAACCCTTATAGACCCCTTTCAGGGAAATTTAGGAACACTATATTGGTCAGACATCCACATCCGCTTAAAGATCCACGCCAGCACTCCCTTCTTTGGCACCTCGTATGAGGAACACCCCTACAGATCCGAAATGAACTTCTTAAGTCCATGGGGGTTTGTAGAACACGGCACAAGAAGCCTAAACCCCAAACCCTCAAGCGAGCGGGCATAGACTTCCAAACAATGCGAGAGCGAAAAAAAACCCTAAAGCCCGAACCCTAAGACTTAAGCGCTAAGCGGTCAGACGGTGTACCCTGCTTAGGATGCTCGTTGTAGCCCTTAAACCCTCCCCAAAAAATGAACCTCCATGCTGCGAGACAGAAAAAGGGACGTTCAACAAAAAGGCCCTAAGCCAGAGCCCCAGGTGGCCCTGCTTCCCGTGGAGCGCTGCCCTGGAGACTGCCCTTGGCTCTTCGAACGGGCCTTCGAGTATGTAGGCCCGAGCGTGTGGATGCTTTAGTGCCTTCGTGTTCATCTTATTGCGACTATTGTAGTTTTCCTGTTGTGGGTATTCCACTTATGGTTGTGATGATGGTGGTGATGATTGCTAGCTTACTATGTTTATGGTTGCACATGTAATGCTTGCTGGAGCTGTGTTTCGGCAAAACGGTATCCTAAACGTCATTCTTTTACCCCACTGTTGTTTCGTTATTTGTCCGTCATCTAGCAGCTCCTATGCCCGAATCTCTTTCATACCGTCCTTTTCATGATACCACCGTTTTGGCACCCTGAATCGTGCTTGTGGCTATGTTGATTATCGGTGCATGTTTTGAGTACGGTTATCCTTCACTACTGGGAACTTCAGTTTTATGTACCGGTCTTGTACTATTCATCCCTGCTGTCGCGAGGCACCGAAGACAAGTCGGAGCTACAGAAGTGGAATTACGAAGTCTGCATCCAGCCGCCAGGCTAAAGTCAGCATTTTAGGGTTTAGGGCCGTAAACCCTAAACCCAGAAGCCTACAATCGCCGGGCTGATTGCAAGGGTAAAATGCTGTGTCGGCCTGGCGTCGTCCCGCTAGGACTGACAACTGTTTCTGAGCATGCCTAAGCCCGAGACCTTTACCCTGAACTCCAGTGCCCTATAATGGTACCTAGTAGGTGTTTGGGCCCCAACAGTATATACGATACTGTTACTTGGACCCTTCGGGGTGAAGATGCAGAATACTAGAAAGCACAAAACAACTGAACTGACGCATCCTCGTGGCGGAGGCCCCCTTGCCTTCCATACAGTGGCCTCATCTCTCGACCTTTTTTTGGGGGGGATGGTGGTATCGTACATCTGGGAATTTCCTAAAATTAGATGTACCTTATAATATTTTGGGGTCCTTAGAGTAAGGATCCTCCTATTTGGGGTACTACATTAGCAAACCCTATTTTCGGAAAGTCACAACTGTATAGGACGGGGATGTTAAAGGATTTTAGCATAAGTTAGCTCGGGTACTTGAACTTCAGCCTTCTTCAGCCAGCGGCTCAGAAATCGACATTTCAAGTCCTGAGGTACCCGGGTGGCTCGAGCTGCAGCATCACCTACCCGCACTCCCTAGGAGTCGGGATGCAGAGACGATTTGCGGTTTGGGGGTTAAGGTTTACCGTTTCCCGGACACAAAGACCTTTTTAAGGACCCAAGAAGGTAGGTTGTGCAGGGTTAAGGGAGAGGCTTAAGTTGTTGTAGGCAAGGCCGCGTTGCTTCAAGGTTTAGGGTTTTGGTTTGAAGCCGGGATTGACTGAGTTCTATGTGCGAGTATGTGTGGGAACATATTTGCACATGACTCATGATATATATATATATATATATATATTGAACAGGAACCACATGTGCGGGTACATGTGTGTACATTCGTACCGATGATGGAGAGATATATGGAAGCTGGGATAGGTAGGTACGCAGGTCGCCAGCTAGCCATGATTTTTGGCACATGGGTACATACGCACATGAGTACGCACATGCATTATACTAACGATTAGAAGAATGCCAGGATATCTTTTCTCTGATTAATACTCAGTTCCTCATGGTTTAATTAATATCCAATAATGAAGTCTAACTCATTAATCCTAGGGTCACCTCAGTGAAGCGCAGGAGCTTTGCTCCCAGAGTCTTTCCTGACCGGCTTTGCTGCTGGATTGACGGAGACCCCGCTGGCATCCATGTCGCCTGGTAGGAAATTTAGATCAATTCTTCGATATGTTTAAGATAATGCATAACATATTATAGTGTATCTTTAGCTGGTTTCGCAACTATGGGGCTTAGTTCTTGGGGTCAAGTGGGTTTGGGCCTTAGGGTTCGAGGTGTAGGGTCTGCACAGGGTGTGGTGCTATTGAACAGCGTCAAGCTCGACCTTCCTTCAGCGAAGGTTCTCCTCTAATAAGGGTTCCTCCCCCAATCCAGGCATGCTGTAGACGTTGCCTCCCTATCCCATGCCCCCCTTCAACTCCGCTACGCCCTAAATTCGCTATTGTTGTTGTTGACTCTTCCATTCTTGGGATCTGCAGGTTCGGCGCTCATCACATGGAGCTGCGCAGCCACAAGAAAGGACAGTCAGCTTAGATGCATAGCTCAGTGGCCGCGAGTTGCAGAGAGAACTAATCCAATACAAGTGCCAAAGTATTTTTAATAGGGTTGGGGAGGATAATCTAGACTAGGTATGCGGGGACTACAGCGGAACAGTATAAATCTAATCATTCCTTACACAGCGGTCCTGGATCGGACGTTTTTCGGTCCTTCTTGACTCTTCGTTATGCTTAGTTAGGGCCTGAGGGTTCAAGCGGGGATATGTTTATGATAGTTATACGGGTAGCTATCAAAATTTGGGTCCCTTTTTGGGCACCTTAAATATTAGGTGCCGTAGTATATTCGGTACCAGAAAGGGACCCTAATTTTAACAACCAGCCATATAAGGCACAGCAATACTAGTTACGGTTTTCTTCGAAGGAAATCCAAAGTCATGACGTGCCCTGACAGGGCTTTGGGGCACACGCTTCGCTGTCTGGGCTCCCAACGCCCACTCTGTGAGCTTGGTCGGCGACTTCAACTACTGGGATGGGCGAGCACATCCTATGTCTTGCCGCGAGAAGCCTCTGGATCAGAACTTGTGAGATAGGAGTTTGCGAAAGCCGGAACCCATCGAACAAAGCCAATCTTAAACGGAAGGATCCCCACTAGTAGTAAAGGAAAGGGATCACGAGCTTTCTGGACTTCCGCGCCCGTGTGCGCATGTGTCGGTTTGCGAGTTGGGTGATAGGAGAAGGGCCGTGAGTTGGTGAGGCTTTTCACAAAGACTTTGTTTTCAGCGCAAGCGTTACGAGTAGGTGTTTGTGTTTTGAGGACGTCTCCTAGACAGACTGTCGAAATCTTAGGCTTCTGTTTGGGTTTCATCAGTTTAAATTTAATATTTAAATAGGTTTAGGCTACGGTGTCCATGCCTCTGCAACCTGAGGTTCGGAGTTTGGGAGATCTTCTTGCCTTCCTGGGACCTGCGCGGTCAGAAATATGCCTACCAGGCTCGGGAACCTGCAGTATCGCCAACTTTAACAGTGGGTGGTTGTCAAAACTATGGTCCCTTTTTTGGTCCCTATTATAATACGGCACCTTCTATTTAGGGTACCCAAAAAGGGACCGTAATTTTGACAACCACCCAGTATTGAAGAATGCTACTGCTACTCTGCTGCTTCGGCTGCCGCCGCAGCTGCTTCTGCGACTGCTGCTGCGAGTTCTGCTGATATTGCTACTGCCACTGATGCTACAAGGAGTACTATGAGTGGTTAATGATTTCTAAAGTTCTAAAGTCATGTCTATGAGGTTTTGATCCTGGCAGCGATACTGGTGGCATCACTCATCACAAGTGTCGTGGTAATGTCGTAGTGATGGCAAGCAAGCCTGGCAAAGTTACATACAACGGAGCAGATCGAGCCTTGACTGAATAATTGTAGCTGCGGAATTGCCGAGGTAGGATTATAAGAGCCAACTGACCAAATGATATCAGCTAGTCCAGGAACCCTTATAAGCCTTAAGCCCCAAGCCCTAAACAGGTGGTGTCTGAAGCTCTTGAGCCCGTCTCTTGGCCAGTGAAGCTTTCCCCCTAACACTTCGCAAGTTGTTGGTTCGCGCTTGTTGTGGATGGTTGCGCAAAGCATGGAGGGTAAAACTGGCGTGGCGTGGGGCCTTTCTTATCTGAAGCTCGCACAGCAAGTTCTCCTTGCACAGCTCTAGACAACAGAGTTCGCTTCCACGTCCGGATGCACCTCTTGGATGCTGATTCGCACTCACAAGCCCAGCAGGCTTCGGGCTGCGGACGTCGCATTCACGCAATGCATATATCCCTTTTCAACAGAGAAGGGCTCGAAGCTGCAACTTTTCTTCAAAGTCTTCAGATGAGGTCGTCAAAGCCGATCCATGTGCCTTGGAGTTCGTGGATCCTTCCGATGGCGGCCACGATGCCAAGGTGCCGGATGACTGGATTCTGGATGCTTACTTTACGTGTAGAGTGGGTGGGAACGAGGGACCTGTCGCATGCATGCATGACCTATGCTGGAGACTGTGGCCATTTGTCCATCCTGCGTTTCGTCACTCTTCACGAAGTTGCTGCTGTGAAGACACGAGCCGCTGAGAAGCAGGTGCCGGAGTGCGACGACTACAGCAGAGCAGCATGGAATCTTGCTCAATCTTGTTGTGCGAGCTTATGTTGTCCTCTGCCGGCATTATGTTTTGTTCGCCATACGCGAGCTCACAGCCAACTGCACGCCACATGCTGAAACTGATGTGTCGGTCGGGGCCAGAGGCCGCCTAAAAGCTCTGAAGTTTCGATTTCCATGTTCAGGGTATCTGCAAGCTGGAATCGCATCCGCTCCATGATGGAAGTAACCTACGGTTAGCCAGGGATGCGTTATTGCACAGGAACGGCACCTACCCGTGGACTGACGATGCGTTCATTGCCAAACGACAGGCGGGGCTACTACGGGAGGACTCAGCCTTGGCAAAACCATGAGTGTCAGTCAGGGGCTTCCTTATTAATACTTATAGTCTAAGATACACTTTTGGGGGTTCCTTGTTGATAGTCTACGGTCGAAGTATAATATACCATACCCGTTTGGGGGGTTCCGTATTAATAATGTAGTACAATATACCCCCTCAAACGGTTGAGATCTTCGGGTTGGAGTCCTAGGATTGGGGGCTGCGTGGTCACAGTAGCTGGGCAATGTGTCCTCTGACTTTAGCACTCTTTGAGTTCTTGGCACGAATAACAACCGAGTCCTTGATTTGAGCAAGAGCCCGGAGGCCAAGTTTGGCAGCGCAACTTGGTGTAAGGAGCCTCTTTCCATCTACGAGGCTCGGAGGGTTTACGGGACTTGGGAAAAGGGTTTCGGGGATTAGAGGATAAGTCGAGACTGAGAAGTTGTTGAACTTACGCTTGCCAAAAAAAATGCGGTCTTCACCTCGTGAACAAACAGTCGTCCTATCATGGTGGGCTTCACGGCGGTTCTGGCTGGACAGATGTATTGGCGGGAAGATTTCGGGGCTCCAACGAAGCAATTGCTGGTCGAACCAGCCTCCTACGGAAAGCCACGTGCAATGGCGCGATGCCTGAGAAAACGAACCGAAGCCCAAGACGCTGACGCCATACCATCTACGAGATCTGAAATCCCTTCCCAAAGCCTAAAACCCTTACAGTAGTGGGAAGAAGAGGTGCACTTGGGAAGTTGGACCATGACAGCCAGTGCCAACTACCGGGACATCGCAGAGCCCCTGGCGAAACATGTGCAGGACCTGCTTCTTGGGTTTTGGGAGTTTGCGAAAATTAGGGGGTACCCTACTTTGGGGCCCTTATAATAAGGATCCTATTTAGGGTACTATCTTAGGTTCCCCTATTTTCGGCAACTCCCATTTCGGGTGTTCGCAGCTCTACGGCCCCTGAGCTTTGCCCCGTGAAGCGTCGAAGCTTTAAGTTCATCCGCCATTTCTCCTTTGAAGTAGACTCTATATGGGCCCATATTATAAGCCCTTAAACCCTGTGTACTTGCATGTAATCACTGCATGTCCTTAGCGTGAAGCAGCGATGCATCTGTGAGGAACTGGGCTTCACGGCTGTGGAATTCCTCCCGTTGTCACAGCACCGGTGCTGGCATGGAGACAACCATCGACAACCCTAACATGCATAATGGCATTCTGTTGAGGGTGCGTGCAGGTGTGTGTGTGTGTGTGCGCGTGTGTGCGTGTGTGTGTGCGTGTGTGTGCGCGTGGTGGCGACTTCTACTTACCTGACTTAGCTTGTATTTCATACTAGCACTACGATCACGACGAAGACGACTGCCACTGCTACTGCTGCCAGTGCTGTCTATTTGTTTTGTTGGTCCTGGTGAGACTGGTGTGACCGAGGTATCCGTGCGAGGAGTCTTGGGGCTACCAGTGTGCAGCGGGCCTTTTCGCTGTGGACAGGCACCACGCAGCGATTGCTCTGACTTCAGGGTTTACGGGTTTAAGCAGTGCTTTCAGGGCTTACCTACACACAGGTTGACTAGTGGAAGGAGGATATAAATCACAACGAAATCACAATCTGTACTGAGATCTGTTGTTGGCGTAGTAGTTGTAATCAATTACGACTGCTTCTCCGTGCAAGAAGAGCCGGCTGAATCGTTGAGGGCCCGAGCATGCTGAGGGGTTCAGGGTAAAAGGCCCAAACACCTACTAAGAACCTACGATAGTGGTACTTGGACCCTTTGGGTTAGATGATAGTTAGATTGTTTTGGACCCCATCTGCAGCTCAGAAACATGCAGGCGTCTTGGCACTCCCGACGACTTCCGCTACCTCGCAGCTTGACATGTCGTTTTCCTTGCCATGTGGCTGTGGCCAAAGGCCCCACTCTTGTGTAGACATGTTTCCGATCCTCTAGTCAGAAGCTTATAAAGTGTCGGTGCAGCGTCAGATTCTGCATGAACATTTGAACATTGGTGCCGCGGATCTGGTTACTGCGGATCGTGCTCGTGGCCAAAGCGATAATATGTTTGTGTAGGAGCCTTAATACATTTTGGGTTTCCTATTATAATTCGTTTATCCAGCATATTCAGCTAAGTCATGATCCTACGAACTTCACCGGGGTTTAGGGTTTAGGTCCCGCGTTGCAGCCTCTTACTTAGTCACTGGCTTGTGCTGTTGCAGCTGCTCCCTAAACACCAAGGTTCAACGGTCCAAAACGGTCTCCCTAAACCACTGAGGCGGAAAGCCTCATGTGGCTGAGACTAAACCCATATGTATTACATAGCTATAGTAGTTGTAGCGCACTATGCCCGAAAACCATGATTCGTACCAGATCCGTGCGATTGAATTCCAGTGCATTGGGGCACCCTTTTGTTCCATGAATTTGGATGTCTAAGGTGGACACGCTGCACAGCTACGGAATCGCTGTGTTCATGGACTTTGTTGGGGCACACTTTGCGAAGGAAACGACTCAGTGGTGTGCAGTTGCTCGTGGTTGAACGGGGCGTCAGGGGGTGGAGGTTGATGGTGTTCAGTGGTTTTGCGGCTTCGAGAGTTGATTTGTGGTTTGAGGTTCATTGCCGAAAAAGGGCTTGCCCTTCTTACAGCACATGTCTTCATGGTATGTCTGTCAGCAGCAGTTGCAGCAGGCTGTCCGTTTCCTGTCTCCTCCGTAAATGTAAGTGCTTCAAGCAGCCTGCTAATGTAGTTTCGTGTGGAGATATATAACAAAAATTGTTTCTAATTGAAGCAGTCGGGCTCTATGCTAATCGAACGCCTTGCCTTGGGAACACCCGAGCCCGGTCCCTGGACAGGGGGCCAGAGCCTGTTCAACTAATGTAGCCGCATCAACCATCAGCAACAATACTCTTTTGGGTTCCTTTTCATATTTTTTCGACAAGGTACACCAAAAACCTCTTGTATTGGTGTTGTCAGACTCCGATTCCACAGAAACCCCCGGCAGCCGCCAAAATCAGGACGAGTGGGGCTTGGTAAACTACAGCGGCACGCCACAGTACGAGTACGAAGGTTCTGTGGGGCAGATTCCCGGGCTTCTCGGACACAAAGCATCTTCTCATCACTAAGGCATTTATCTGTTTAGGAAGGGTTTCGATGAAGCCCTGGCGCGAAGGGAGGTACGTGAAATGTAAAGCTGCCTGCAACGAGGCCCTTCCGACGAGAAACGCATGCACGCACAATCACACGCACAATCACAGTCACAATCACACAAACACAATCACACACACACACACACACACAATCACACACACACACACAAGCTCACACACACGCGCACGCACACGCAGACAATGAAACGTCAGTTCCACAATGACAAGAAGCAGCTGCTGCCAGCCCAGCCGAAGCCAGAACTGCCAGCTGCAGTCGTTTGCAGCCTCCGCGAGCCGTAAACCCTGAACGTAAAACCTGAACCTAACTACTTAACACCCAGACCACGTGAACCGTTTCGTCCCTGGTCAGCCTCTATACCCGAAACGCAAACGCTATCTGTGTGTGTGTGTAGTACAAACAAAGAACAAAGAATCCTTTTACAAAAGACATGTACATGCCCAGAGTCGGGCGTGGCTTTCAAGGTGGGGCACCTGCCGCTACAACTATGCCAAGCCAGAGGTCCAGGTGGGAAGTTTCCTCTATCAGCACATGCAGCACTTCTATATCTTGTTTTCTGGTCACACGCAGAGTTGTTGCTGCAGTCAGTCGGCTCTGGCTTGCTGCATTTCCGCTTCATGTAACCCTGCCGTCATAACTAGAAGTGTAATTACGATTCAGTTATTTTTCCTCTGCATGAGCATCAGGTCTGACGGGTTACAGAGTTTGCCCTGAGTTGAAACGACTTGGTGCTTGGGCCATCAAGCCTTTAGATTCCAGCGGTATCTAAGTGTGCCGGGCGTATGAGATCTACATCGTGCAGAATTTATCAGGTATAGGTATAAGCATGATGACGCCCTTGCCTCCACAGCTTCCCACCTTGGCTTGAATTGAAGCTGAGATATATTCTCATGGAAACAGTCAGCCCCGATCGCCGTTTGCGCCATCGCTCCTCTACGTCTATGCAGCGATCCTCAAGAAGAGACCTCGGCTTAAGGCTTAGGTTAAAGTATGTGGACGTCTGGATTCCCACCGGCAGGCCTATCTGTTGGGCGCTGCTCACCACTGGATCGAGCACTTCCACATCGATGGGCTTCGAGTCGATGCTGTCACAGCCTCGCGGCTTGCATCCCGGGACCCTTTTCGAAGCATCGCCCTCCAAACCCTTCAAACCCATCACGCCCCCGAAGGACGAGTCATTGCGTAAGTGTGGTGATCGCGAGAAGAAATGAGTTCCGTTTACCGTCTTTCTGAAGCATAGAGAGAGGGAGCACCCGCCATGTGCAGCGCAGCTGAAGTTTTTTTTACATGCAGAGCCCTTTTTTCTTGCTTCGGTGTTGGCATTGTTTTGTGCTAATTCGAGGCCATGATTTACCGCAACTTTGGTCGGGAGGAGGACGGCGACAAGATTATGGCTGGAAAGGCCCTGCTGTGCACTGCACGTTTTTGAGCCTCCGGCTGCCGCCCGTAGATCACGCATGAATGGAGGCATGGTCGACAGTCATGTTTGTTTGCGGCCGGAGCTTGGTCACTTAGCTTCCACTTCGGCCCTGGTCTTGCACAGCTAGGCCCCTCATTTCGAAGCTCTGCACCCCAAGAGTCCCGAACCGTCACATGCTGTGCCTTCGACCGACGGCCTTCATCAGGGCAAGTTGAATGAGGATGGCATTGCCCTGCTGCGGCGCCTGTGTGCTGAGGCTCGGGCACGATGTGCGGATAGGAGTGTGGGATGGGAATGACACTGACAACATACTGCGACTCTCATCACCATACTGTAAGCATTAAGAGAAGCAGTCTAATCCACGACGTTGATGGTATTCGCAGCCGTCGCGGTCGTCGCTTTGGTCCGGATGGTGGCAGTAGTTGAAGTCGTTCTCGTCGAAACGGAGGCAGCATACTGACAATAAACATGGTAATCATATCCGTAGTGTCGCAGTAGTGCAGTAGCAGCAGTCGTCGTCGTCGAATTGTTGTAGGCGTGGCACCCAGCAGCAGCAGCAGCAGCAGCAGCAAGTCAGAGCAGCCGTACAAGCAGACCCTGTGAGCAGCAATGCAAACTGCAGCCTACATGCCAAGAGGTTTGGGGTTTGAGGGACCCCATGCAAGGAAGGTTCACGAAAACAGATCATCAGCCCTTGAACACAAACTCTTCACCCGAAGCAAGTCTCCCGAGCTCTACCGCGCGCCCCCACTCACATGCCAGACAAGCATAATAGTGACAGTGCCAACATCCGCACAGACACTAAACCCGAAACCCTAAACCCACCGTCAGGCATGTCCGAGTTGCGAGAGCGTAAACCCACCATCGAAAGTTCGTTAAAGGCCGGCCCGCCTTGCGAGGTTCGCTCGCGGCATCCGGGGGTCATCCTCTCTGCAGAGGAGTCCACGAACTTCAAGTGGGCGTCTGGGAAAGAAAACTCTCATCATGAATAAAGAGGGCTCTCTTTTTGGCATTAGGTACCTTTATAAGGAACCTAAAACTACAAAAAGGGAATAAGGGTACTACTGGGCATCCTGGTATAGATATTAGTTCCTTTACATGCGTTTTTGTGGGTTTGAACAAGTTTTCACAGCATAAGAGCTTTGAAAGTTAGGGTCTGTCTCTCTCACTCTCACTCTCCCTCTCTCTCTCTCTCCTGCCTGCCCGTGCCTGCATCTTTGCATGGACACTCCCATATCAGTCGATGTATGTATGGCAGTGGGTACTCGTGTTTGTGGAGCCGATCCTGATGCTGATATACAGTGCGATGTGTTCAAGATGTTCGCATTTGAACCCGAGTTTTCTGTCACAGCCCCGAGCCATAATCTCAGCATCGCCGACAGAAGAGCGAACAGCAAGAAGATCGCAGCAATTCGGCAAGGTGACAGATCGTCCCGCAGAGAACGGCACTGAGAGGCACCAGGTGGCCCAGCTTAAAGATTTGACATAGAGGCTGAATAACGGCAGAACTGCATTAGGGCATGTAGGTGAAATCGTTGGGTATCTATGTTGCAGACGCTTGAAGGGCAGTTTCGTTGAGTTGTTTCGGGTTTTAGGGCGTGAGGTTAAAGTCTTGGTTTTCAGATTGCGTTTTACAGATTAGGGGTTTGACCGGGTGATGGCACAAGCACAAGGTTTAGGATTTTGCTCAGACCCGCGTTGCTCGGATTTTTCTCTGGCTGTCGGGTCAGTTGTGGAGTACTCTCCCAGCATGTCAGGCGTTTCATGTTGGAGATCCTCCTCACATGATCCTACGAGTCCTGCCATCTAAAGCCTTTATGGGGTCTGTATTGCTGGTTCCTTGTTTTCTGACACTCCAGTTTTTGGACCGAAGGCGGAGATCCGTGATTTGGGATTCCATCTCAAGTGGAACATGGGCTTTGCCTACGATGCTTTGTCGTATTTCGGTGCCGACCCAGAGGAACGACCTCAGCTGGATACGTTTGGATGGAAGAGGCTGGCATGGTATTTGGCTTACGCCTTCAACGAACGCTGGGTGCTGCCCTTTTCGCATGATAACATGCAGCCAAAAAGCTTGCTGGACCAGATGGCGCCTAACAAGCGAGTGGGCGTGGAGGGCCAGTTTGCGCAGCTTCGATTGCTCTTCTTGCCGCTTGAAAGGCAGCCAGTTTTTTTCTCAAAGTTTGAGTCAGAGTTTCAGAAGTCGGGATAGTTTGGAACGAGATAGCTACATCCGGGACATGTCTCAATGTTGCGGGGAGCAAACATTGACCTGCAGACTGCACAGTCGATGTGCCTTCGTACTCTGGGCCCTTAGCGCCGAAGCACTTTCCCGACATTTGTCGATTTTGCATGAGGTCCTCCAAAACTTTCCAAACCTTAGCACACAGAGAGAGAGAGCGAGAGAGAGAGGGAGTGGGGGTAAAGCCCCTACACCACAGCCCTGATGAAAGAAAGAAAGAAAGAGAGAGGGAGGACTGCTCCCGCTCCTAGCCCCTAGCAAAGCAAAGAGAGAGCAGAAAAATGAACCATCGCTACCGATCCGTAAGCTTCCCATTTCTGAAGGTACATGGTTGGTATGCCAGGCAGACCTCTGATGTTCATGGGCTCAGAGATTGGCGTCTTGGCACAGCATGACGGTGCTCAAGAATAGCAGCCGCACCATCAAACGATGTGCTGTGACTGTCCGTCCATTTGTCTGGTTGTGGTTCTGTCTATCAGTCAGTTCTTCTTTCTTGCCTTTCTTCGCCTGCATCCGGGAATTGCGCTTGAACAACGCAGTGACCACGTTCTTGGCTTGTGATCTTGCGTCAAATGGCAAAAGAGTCATGCTCGCTGTTCGAGCCCATCGGCACAACGCAAATCAGTAAACTTAGATTGGGTTTAGGTTTTTGCTTGCCGTTCTGTGTTTATCTTCAAAACAACCTTTCGACAGAGATCTACCTTACAAGTTTGAATATTCACCCATGACTGTCCCAGGATGATAAAGGCCCCCAGGTTAGCCCTCCGCATCCCTTGGGCCTCTTGTGTGATCTTTCACGACCTATCGACCTGCAAACATGGATGCTAGCCATGCCTGAAACAAGATCCAACGTCCTGGCAACCGATAACCCTACTCCCAAAAATTCCTTGAAACTTGCCTAAACCTCCTAAACCCTGAACCATATGCCTCGCCTGGATTGTCCGAGTGCGAGCGCCGAACCCCTAAACCCCGAACCCCTAAACCCTATGTGGAGCCTTGCCCGCCTTGTGCGAGTCTGAGCGTCGAAACCCTAAGCTCTAAGCACCTCCGAGGCGAAGGCTTTTCCCTTGCCCAGCCGGTTGATTGGGAGCTTGCAGCCGTGGACCCCGACAAGCAGCAGCCGCCTGGAAGCGATGCAATTTTCTCACATAGCCATATTCAATTATGGTATAATGTAGCCCCCAACCCTACACTATAATTGTTGAGGCCCCCTAGAACGTTTCTGGACAAGCGTGTGCAGAAGTAGCACAAATGCCTTGTATGATTGTTTTAAGTGAGGTTGCGCAGCTGGGTGGCCAAGCTGATGAAGCCGCTTGGACCCGGAGCCTGGTGTAAGACAGGCTTCAGGCGGTGGTGACCTGGTCTTGTAGAATTTTTGAGGTGTCGCGGCTTGCAGGGCTTAGGGCCTACCTTAACCCTGAATAACCTACGTTTATAGGGTTCCTTACTATGCTTTCCTTATACAAGTCCTTAACACGGTAGGTTATTCCGGATTAAGGTAATCCTAATCAAGGCTTGTGAATCGGATCTTTGTTTCGGACTTTTGGGCTCACGGCTAGCGGGGCTTGGAATTTGTGGGTGCCAGGATGTGTAATGCTCCACAAAGAAGATTTTTCTTCCAACAGATGGTTTTGCCGTCTGTGTTGTTTTTGCCGAAACGCTCGTAGACTGTTGTCAGGCTTGCGTTTGGCAGTCATCCGGGAGCACGTAGGTCGTGGGATTCAAGTCTTCGCCTCCTCCGCCAAAGCCTGCAGGCTCTATCGTCAGTTAAAATGCCTCCATCGGGAGGACACCGCTGCACTGGATGTGGGGGGCCAAAGCCTCACAGGCTCACGTACTTCATGACTGATGTTCCGCAGACCTTGCACAGGACCGCGCTGATGGATTCCATTGGCTCGACACTTCCAGCTTGATGGCATGCTTTCGTCTCAGATCTTCCAAAATGTACTATGGGGGCCTCAATAATTACCAACACTATTTTGGAGGGCTCCTTTTTATAATTCCAGTATAATGGGCCTCAAAACCCTATTCTAATTATTAAGGCCCCTGCATTAGGTGGACGGGATTCATTTCGGTTTGGTGGAAGACTGCTGACAGTACTTATACTGGACCCATATGTATCTACTGGCACACTTCTCTTCGACCTGCTAGCTGCATGTATCGTCGGTGGTTTGATGGCATGAGCAAGGACGAAACTTCTGCGAGGGGTGTTACCTAGCGTTTCGGAGTCTAGGGTAAGTAACAACATACAGTATGAGCCTGCGCGGTTTGTAGTTGAGTCAATGATTCCATATGGAACCCGAAACCGCCTAAAACCTCACAAAGGAGCACAGAGAAACTTAAAAGCTTAGGCTTGGGCGGCTTGGGTTGCCCGCGTGCATATACATACAAGTAGCAAGAGAGAGACAGAGAGGGAGAGAGACCTTGGAAGTAGCAGCAAGATGGGACTTGGCTGAGGACAAGGATACAAGCAGCCGCTGTGTCTATGCCTGGAAGCGCTTTGCCAAGGACGAGCCAGAGGTAACGGCGGGCCTGTGATTTTGAGGATTCATTTGCTTTGCTGTTGTTGTTGGGGCATCAAGGATGCATAGGTAAGTTCAGATATCATTTCTTGGATGGGCTTGCAAATGGCACAGACTTGCATGCATACCTACGGACATGTACAACATAGAGGAAAAGTGCTACGCCCTCTCCGCACGGGGATGAGTGCAATTGATGTATGGGCTTCAGTCAAGTATTGAAAGTACTTAGTGGCGTTCTGCCTGCAGGCCATCATCGTCGTAAACGCTTCCATGACGCATGTCAGTCCGTACTACGTCAACTCTGGAGATACCTCCGGAGCTTGGAAGTGCGTGGCCGTGACTCATCTCTGACTTGTTCGACGGGCTAACTGATATACAGGCATAACAGAGACCTCCAAGCTTCAACTCTTGTCGTTGTGCATCGTAATGTCGGCCTGCAGATCATTGGGCTTATGTGCCAAAACCAACCCTGAACTCCATCCGCTCCACGTTGACCTAAGAGCAATGATTCTTGGTGGTGCGGGCGCCCCTGAGGGCTGTACTGGTTGATAGTTGGCTGATTGTCATTTTCACTGCAGGGGTACCCAGAGTTTTAGCTGCTTCCTGAACCCCCAAAAGTAGGCAAATGACGGACCAATACCCATAAAAGGCCATTATTCTACATTCTACATACTTTTTGGGTTTAGCTTTAGCTTCGTGAGAACGGACTTGTGTGGAGCTTGGCCTCGTGCGAGACAGTGAGAGGCGAACCGAACATGAAATGCCAGTACCTGAACCGCCTGAGCCCCCTGAACTCTGACCTCTAGGACGGAAGAACAGTTGGGGCTTTTCAGCCGGATGGCTGCACAAAATCGAAAATCCTGGCCCTAAGTAATTGAAGGTATCCCTGAACTTTGAACTTACCTTTGCGTAGTAGGGAATGGAAGAATGGTAGTAATAGTAGTTAGAATTGTACCCGATGCCTCCATTCCCTACTAACCCAAGGTAAGCTAAACTCTAACCCTAGCACTTCAGCCTCTCTTAAAGGCGGTTATATGGCATTCCCGTGGCCATCCTCGGACTCCAGGGTACGATCTAGTGGTATACCAAGCAAGTACAATGCGATGTGTCCAACATGGTGAAATATTTTCTTGGATATACCTTCAACATTCTAGTGTAGTAGTGTCATTGGAGAGAGCGAGCGAGTTGTCATGTCTTGTCGCTGTTTGCCTCGCATATGCCATCCCTTGCAGCCACGGATTAAAGGTCCCTTTGTCCAAACTGTCGGTGTGGGCTCGGGAGCCGTGGAACACAAACCACCAAGCTCTTTGCCTCGCCTTTTTGGCGAGGCAAAGGCTTCTTCAGATCACAAAACCCAGCCTCATGCCTGACCTCTGAGAACCCCCATTGAATTCAATAGCTCTTCAGGTCTTAAGGTCTGTACTAAACTGTATTGAGGTTGCTGCAACCCCTCCGCCCAGAAGCAAGACACCCTTTTCCCTTGAGTTCAATCTTGCTGAGGCCACTGCGCTTGGCGACTGCGTGACGACGCCACGCTCCGCCCGCGTGGTGATGGGCCGCACGAAGTTTGCAACAGTGCCCTGCGTTGGTTATTGGGGTATCTCGCACGTTTTTGTGGGAATGAGTTTTGTAATGAGGCTGTAGAAGGGTTCTGTAAGGGTTGAACACAGTTTACATTGAGTGGTTTGTATGGGGGGATGTTTCAAAGTCAACGACAAGGACATCTGGATGTCCGAGATTATCACACAGCTGGTCTCATCCGCTGGGATGTAGTAAGTCCGCGACGGTTTAAGGCAGCATCCATGATCCAAATATGACGGGGCAGATTTGACTGTTTAGCACCCAGGGTCTAGCGTCGTTCATGGAACCTCGCTGCCTGTACATTGGAGGGGTCTTGATACTTAGGGGTACTTAGAAATGAATTTTTAATTTGTGGTTATTATGATCCTTAAGAAACAGCTAAAATTATAATTTTTGCTAGGGTTCTAAGTTCAGTATGGGATAGTTCCTACTCCGAATCAGTGTTTACATGTTGGGGCATTCTCTGTGTCAGGACTGCAAGTCCAGGCGGTCCTTGGGTCCTCAGAGGCAGAAGGCCTTGAAAGGATCAATCAATTCAAGCTTCCGGATTTTGGGAGTGTTGATCTGATCCATGAACCACCTAGTAGTAGAGTAGGGAACCTTTAACCTTTTTTGGGGTAGTATAGTCCCTATATACTCCCTATAGAACCAAAAAGGGTTAAGCTTTAGTTACCCATGATACCCGACAAGTAGATCCACTTTCTCCACCGGTCTCACGTCTGAAAAAATTCGATTGGAATTTCTGTTGGGTCCTTGTTATTTGCAGTTTTTGCTTCTTGGTTTTCGCTGCGTTCTTGTAAGGAGCTACCGCCCATGGCGGCACAGATCTGGGTGCCCTGCGAGTGTGAGCACCCGGGCTAAGAGATATCGGTTTAGGGTTTCGGGCAGCTTAGGGTTGAGGATACGACCTAATGCAGGAACCTGGTTTAGAAACCTTGGGCCCTATAACCCCACAGTAGTATAGGATGCATCTACGGAAGCCTAATAAACCTTAATCAGGTTCCTACATTAAAGTCCAGACTTAGGACTTCGGCTCTCCAGGCTTCGAGTTCATGGTTTGCCCCATAAGGGAGTTTCCGAAAATAGGGGTACCTTATATGGGGGTCCTTATAATGAGGATCCTACTTTTTAAGGTACTATATTAGGGTCCCCTATTTTAGGAAACTGCCATAAAGCCCTAGATCCTAAGGTTTAGGGATATGCATGGTTGGGGGCCAGCGACATGGGTGCAGGTAGACCTGGTGATGCCGGCTAAAGCTTAGGGTTTGGGGTTAAGGCTTTAGGGAGTAGTCCGTTGTCTTCTACAGCTTTTCCTGCCTTAAAACGGGGCTGCGAGTTTCGTGGGCGCTGGCCGGCACCTCAGTCCGTGCTGAAAGGGAGTAGGGAGCAGGGATTTGGGATGTTATGCTACGTCGACATTAAAATCAGAGGATGCACGCCCCCAAGAAGCCCTCGATCCGTGCGGTTTTCAAAGTCTGCAAAGCGACACATGGCCGAATCCTTCGGAAGTCCTGACCTTCGCAGCCAACCCTCAGATCCCACCGTTTCGGGGCCCGAGGTTAGTTGAGTTGTAGATTTGCTCCTCCCGCTCTTCCTATTCCTGCCTAGTTTTGGTTGCCATGCCGCGCTTTGAGCAACATGCGGAGGCCAGGAAGCCGAGGCCCCTCGATGCAGAGGGCCAAGATCTTCCAGCAAAGCCCAGGTGCAGCCTCTCTCCCTTGACGACTCCGGGCTCCTTTGCTTCGATGTCCACTCGGGTTGAGACCGATTTCGAGGGCTCTCTTGACGACCCGGCTCGGCTTCAACGCCTACCATCCAGGAAGAGCAACAAGTCACGCAAGGCAACGAAGTCCACGGCGTTGGTGACTGTCTTCCTTGAGCAGAATGGGTACCTCCATGTGAACGGCGCCAAGTGGTCATGGGGCCGCAGACGTTATCCCCTGCACACGGCCGTGCGGCAGAACCTGCCCGCGACAGTTCGGGCACTCCTGCAGCTCGGTGCCAGCAGGACCGCCGTCAGTGGCGGCTTGACAGCGGAGGAGGCGGCGCAGCGCTATGAACGCAGATGGGGTGGCTATGCCGAAGTCCTCTCGGTTTTCAAGGAGCTTGATATGATGGCGCAGGAGTGCAGTTCTACAAACTCGCCGTCGGAATCCGACGAGCAGCTGGAAGACAGCACAGCCTGTGCATCCGAAGACTCGAGGTCGGAATCCGACCGACAGCCGGAAGACGCCACTCATCGCCGAGTAATTTTGTTGTAGGTAGGTCGTCTTATTGACAGACTGCAGGAGAATACTGCCTGGGGTCTGTCCCAAGTAGTTTAAGTCCTTCCTGGCTTCTCCAAGACGCAGCAGATTATCTTAGACAGGTGTCTGCTAGCACCTCAGAACCATGTGTTGTTGGGCAGATTTGGGCAGCATAAATGCAACATGCCCCACAAGCTTTGCTGTTCACGAAGCGGTTAATTTGTCTTGGGTCGGCCGCCGGACGCCTTTAGACGCAGGTTTGTCGAGCAAATGCCTCTCAGACCTCGCTTTTGAATGAATGAACCTCGTTCAGATCTCAACAGCAGCTATCCGGCGGATAAATCGGGCAGCAACTAGCTCGCAAAGTCCCCCTGAAGCTTTTGCCAATTTTGTTTCAGAGGAGGGTCAAGGCCCAAGGCGATATATCAGCTTGGACGCACATGGCCGCTGCTGGGGTCTTCATTCTGAATTTGAGCGCTCCGCACCTGTGCCCACGGGCACAGGTTTTCCGGACTGCGATTCCTGCAGCAGTACCCAGCTCCCCAGCAGCTGCAGCTGCGCCTGGTAAAAGCCCTCTTGCTTGCTTCAGGTGATCTCTGAGTCGGACACCTATATACTATTTTCGGGGCTTCCTAATTACAGTTATGGTAGAATATACCCCAAGACCCTATTCTAATACTTCAGGCCCCCAAAGTAGAGCAGAGATGTGTGGACCCGAATCCCGGCCAGTCCCAAGGGAGGCAGTCGACGAAGCCGCGCTGCTGAACTTCGAGGTCCTCCATCAGGCTCGGATGTTGGGTTTTGGGGCTTGGGGGGGTTTTGGGGTCAGGAGTCCAGGATTTGTAGACTTTCAGATCGGGTTTGGGACGATTTCATGTTAGATGCTTGAAACAGGCGTTGTCTATTATTGTCACTTTGGCCGAGCAAGAGAAACCCAATGCTGACTTCCCTGGCACAGGAGGCCCAGCCAGGTGATGAGCTGCCCCTGGGTTTTGTCAGCAACAGGATCCTGTGGTCTAGACAAGCGTTGGTCTTGTTTGCAGTTACGGTAGGAGGAGTGGGCCGTTGAAGGGGGTAGGGTTTGCGGCTTGGGTTTTTGACCCCGGCTTTGGTGGGAGCCCTGCTGAATTTCAAGAAGATCCACGATCATCTCAGATTCGTTGGTGGCGAGCCTTCAAGCTTTATGGAGCCAATGAACAACTCATGGATAATTACTCCCTAAGAAAATGCACGCAGCTGAGGCGATTGGTCGGCAACTGTCCAGAATTAGGGTCACCTGGCTGACTCAAGGTTTCCGACACTTACAAGAGTTTTGAGAGAAACCCCCAGCGCTTGGTGAAGGGACATCAGAAGCCTACATTCAGGCCCTCAGTGGAGGGCTTTGGGGTTCTATTCTAGGAGGAGGGCGGCAGCATCGTCCGCATCGTCATTTCTCGACAGTTCCACGGTCCGATTGTATCGCGGCCCGTCTTAGGCCTGCCGAACCCGTTGCACTTCCTGAAACACAGGTAGCTTGGAAGATAGGACCTCCCTCAACTTAAGTAAGTGCCCCTGGGAGGCCACCAGTAGAAGGATTGGACTGGTGACCTTCGGCCGTAGCATAACGGAAGCTACACTGTCACTATATGTTTTCCAGTTGGGGGCCTTGTTCAGATTAGCGGCTTCTTTAAGGCTTTAAGGGATCTTTAGCACCAGGACCTCTAAAATCAGAGCTCCTTGTGTGCAACGTCGCATATGTTCTGGAACTCCCAAGGAATTGGGCTGTGTCAGATGGCGTCATCATGGAGACCGACGCCGACACTTTTCCGTTCTGGCAACTGGGCATGACAATTTCAAGCCCTAAAGCCACGGCCCCTACGCCCTCAGCCCTGTAACCCCAACCATACCCTACCTACATCCGCAAACCCGAAGCAACCTTAAACCGTGGTAGGCCCACGGTCAGCAAATCCCAGGGAGCTTTCATATCCCCCCGCCCGCAACTCCCCCCAAGACCCTTCGAGGCACACATCGATGAGAATTCCCTTGGACGTGCGGAATCTTGAGTTCAAGATGGTTGCTGCCGCGACCTTAAGCCAGCTCCAGAGGTGTCTTCCGTTGATTGCAGGAATGCTTTGAAGATCCATTTCTTAGGGGCCCAACAAGCACATAAGCATAAGCATTTTATGGGTACGAACAAGAAGAAACCGAAGCCAGCCAATGAAGACAGATTGTCCCTGGAACAGAAACCTAAGTCTCGTCAACGCAAATCTGAGAACCGAAAAGCAAGGTATCGACGGTATCGACCTATGCATTTTGAACAATTATCTAGGCCTTTCACGCAAAGAGGCTAAAACCTTCCAACCAAAGAAGGGACCAGCACCGGAAGCCCCCGTGTACCCAAGCAACAACAAGAATCTAAGCAGCCAGGTCTCCGCCGCCGGCGAGGAGACGTGGGAGCCCCTGCGCTTCAACCGAGACCCGACTGAATGAAGGGTTCTTATAACGGGCTCATTGATCCTACTTGCACGGTGGTAAGGTCAAGAGCCTCACAGTTGAGGGTTTTCAAACGGGAAGGCCCTGCTGTTGAAGAGTGTTTGCTGGCACACAATCCAAGCCCATACTGAAAAGGGAGCCAGACGACTGAACTATCCCAAAGGGTCCAAGACAAAGTATAGTCTATAGTTATAGTACAGTAGAGTATGGTATATACTTTTGCCAAAATATCTACGAGGAAGGAGGGTGATACGATTAATTTCCTGGGTGTCGTGGTCTGGCTAGAAAAGCCCAGTAGCAAGAAGGGTATACTGTTGTCAACGAGGGTTAAAAAGATGTAGGGCTCAGGGCAGACGGTTTTCGAACAAGGTCCTTACGGCTTGGGATTCCTAGGGGATTCTCTGTTTGGGTTTGGGGCAGACTCCGGGTAGACACCGTCTGCGGGGTTTGAGGCTTGAGGTTTAGGAACTACCCTTTTCGTTCCGGGTCTTCCGAGTCTAGGTTATACTTGTTCAAACTCTTTTCAAAGAGGGCTTTAGGGTTTAGGGCAATGGTTCAGGATAATTACACTTGTTATACAGGATTTTTGCGCTGGGCTCGTTGATGCATCGGGGGTTAGGATCGATTTGGCGGTGATTGCAGGGCTTTCGGACTGAATCTGAGTGATAATACGGTCTACGTTTTGGGGGCTTTGGGGGATGTCTTGGCAGTTGCCGTAGGAGGGCTTTGGTTCCCAGTAGGAGCTGCCAGGATCCGTCAGCATCATCCCCGGCGTCGTCCAGCGAGTAAGTATCGAGTTTGGAGAGGTGTAGTGATGCAGTTTCCTGGCCACCATTCACAGAAGTGTTCCGGAAGCTGGGACTCTTGCATGTGATGGCTACGCGGCTACACCAGACTCTGCTTCTCTTTGTAAGAGGGCAGTGAGAGTTGGGGCTGTCTCGAACTCAAGGTTGGGTGCAACTTGCCATCAGTTCTCTCACCTATCCTATACTGCTTTTGTTGTGGTTATGCCCGTGTTGCATGCATTTACCCAACCTTTGAGTGGACAGTGTTGCTGTGCACGTACGCCGTGCCTGTTCCAAGGCAAAGTCACACACACGGACCTTTGTAGCAGGCGTCAGTCACAGCCTCATGACAGAGAGGCAAAGGATTGTGGACAGCGCCGCCGCTACAGGCAATGTAGGAACCTGATTAAGAAACTCCTTCTTACTTGAGCTATGACACGCTGTACGAGTAGGATCCATCGTATGCAGAGCCCTAGCACGCACCAGGGGCTTCTTGCTCAGGTTCCTATGTTACCATGTTCAGCCTGGCTCTCTGTTCGATGTCAGGCTACGCTTCGCGAAAGTTCGAACCGGCCCTAATATAGAACTCTTTCACGAGTCAGAATCCCTAACATGGGACCTATTGTATGGTGTTTCAAACATAAAAATGGCTGAGACTATGCTGCGAGACCTGACATGGGCAGCAAGTCAGCCAAGCTACGCCACTCCGTGCTTCCAGGATTGAGTACCGCTATACTGTCGACGATCCCACAGAACTCGACGGCGGGAAAAAGAACGATATGCCGATATTCAATCCCCAGAAACCGTAGACTCGCCGAGCCAACCTTAGGGGTTAGGGCCTGGAACATTCAGGAACCCTATAAGCACCCCCCCCCCTCAAAAAAGAAAAACACAAGCCCCAATCAACTCCTCGTAATAATTTCAGCTTTCAGTTCCAAGCGGTAAAGGAAGGCAAAGACGCTTTCCCGCGCAAGGGCCGCCGCAGACCTTTTTCAACGGGGGTTGTTCCAATTCAGGCTCCCTTCCTTGTCGGCTTTATCGGGAATTTGGGGGACTCCCGGTTTAAGATGTGTACCATAGGCGCCTAAATAGTTAATGACCAATACTGCTTTGGGGTTCCTTATTGTATCATTATATACTGTAGTATATATACTGGGCCCCAAGAACCCTATTCTAAGGCCGCTATATCAGGGTTGAATGTAGAGAGGAGAGACTGATCTGAAAGGGAGTTTCTGGTTCGGAACAGCCTGCAACTGCCGGCGTCACTTCGCAGAAAATTTTGAATTCCCTACATGACCAGCACCCAGAGCTAAGTGTTCACCCGGAAGCCTGATGCCACATGCCTCCTTTCCCTTTCCGTGTTCGGCTATGCCCTACTCTGGTGAGTCTTGAATTGTCGGGTGGGGCATGGTATTGGGCCTAAGCCCCAACTGAAGTGCCCGAGACCTGAAATAAGGCACTAACGCTTAAATCAGTATGGGGGATTATGGGAAGCGACAGCTCTCCAGAGTGCTTTCGGTTCAGAAATCTTTGAGATTTTGCCCTCGGGGACCCGGCACAGTACCCTTTCAGTCGGTGTAGGGAAAACCGAGCCCGTTGCAACGTATGTTCCATTGCAGGAAGATTAGACTCTAGACTAGACTCCAGAACAAATATTGGGGAGCTGGAACACAAGAGAAGTGACTGGGCCCGTTGCGGTACAGCTGTCGTGGCCATTCTATCCTGCGTCTCTAGAGGATTACAGCGTCGGCGCGGAGCTAGCTGGGCTGCGACGGCTTGTGCAACGCAATCCGCTTCTATCGGCCCGTCCTTCCTTCCGCTTACATTGACAAGTGGTTCCCGCGTCAAAGGCGCGCTTGCATCAAGCATCGAATACGTTCCCATATTCAGCCGAGAGCTGCCTTCCATTGGTTTTTAGTGATTCTAGTGGGATGTATGCAGGGTTTGCAGCGCTTACGGGTTCAGACGCTGACTGGCAAACGAGGGTCACCTAGCTGTCCTGCATCTCGCGTCTGATATCACTGGGCCGCCCGTGTCGCAGAAGCAACATCCCCCACGAGGAAAAAGGGCCTTTGCCGTGAACAGGGTTTAGCGCAAAGTCTCTGCACTCCCTGAGGCTGGATTCCCGCGGATTTCGTTTGCAGGGTTATTGAGGTTGGTATAGGCACGTTTCTTCTTTGGAGTGTGAAGGGTTGGGCGGTCAGGGTGTTCGCTTGGGGCTTCAGGGTCCAGAGCTGCTCCCTTACGATGCTGTTTGGAAGACTCTTTCGGTCAGAACTATAGATGCCGTCAGCGGAGATCTGATTTAACTACCCTTGTGCCCTTCAAAAGGATCTCGGGCCGCGACACTCGTTTCTGCAAGTTCTTGAGAGGAAGACAGGGGCTGGGCGGTTTAATATAGGGGCCTTATTAATACTCGATTTACGAATTTTATAGAATAGGGTTTTGGGACCCATTATACTATGACTAGAATAAGTTCAATAAGGAACCCCCAGAATAGTATTGGCAATTATTTAAGCCCCCGTCGTAATGTGGGGAGGCTCGACGCAGGATCTTCCCCTGTGAAGCCTGGAAGGTTACACGGCGACACGGGGTCTTTCAGAAACTGACAAACCTTTAAAGCTTGAGACCCGGAAGCTTTGAACTCTTGACCTTGTAAGCCCTATAGCACAGGAAAATTATTCCGGCTTCGCGCAGGTTTGACAACCCGGCGACAGATGGAAGCCTGGCCCCGCGCCCGAAATGAGTCTGATTCAGGTGAGACTAGCAGCCCGAGCCTCAACGGTTTAGGGTATGTAGGGCTGAATCCCTGAGCTCTTGTGGTTTGCGGAAGCTTTGGCATCGGTTTTGAGGGGGTCTTCGTGATAAAGACATTGTCACCGCAATACCTCAGTCGCGAATGAAACTTTTAAGTTCAAAATCCGATGGCGCATCGAAGCACAAGCTGGCGCCGCCTACCCAAGGGCACTGTAAGCAGCCACTTCGCGATCTTAGGGGGCAAATCTGACTTCGCAACCTCAATGCTCATGCACATGCACTTGGTCTGACGAGTTTGAGGGCGCGGATGCTGCTCTGAACGAACCTCGGGTAGAGGTTTGTTCGTGAAAACCATGTGCCTCTGTTCTCGCCGCTGCAGTAGCACGGGCCCAAAATCATAGAGACTTCTTCCACTTGCTGGGAGGACTGCCGGGCTGCTTGAGCCCAGAGAGTTCTAACGACTAGCGGTACATCTGCTTTTATGTTTATCATGACGATCTCGCTCTTGAGGGTTTCATCTTGGGGTGCGCCCTTTGCTCCTGAAGCTCGTAGTGTTGGTGCTTGCAAGGCCGGGATTCATGTGGTACCCCCTGGCCACCCAAATTCAAGCATCCATGTCCATTGCCTACAACATCGGCACCATGTGTTAGTTGTTCAGGATTCTGAAAGCTGCTGGCTGCAAGCACCCAGAAGCAGGTTTGCAAAGCTCTCTGCCCAATTAGGTTTCAAGATGCCAAAGTCACGTCACTACATTGCTTCTTGTCGTTGTTATTGCTCATATCCCTGCTATGATCATGCTTTTTATTAGCATTGTCGTCGTTGGCATTGGTGCTATAGTATATCACTGCCACGCAGGTGTTGTTCCCAATTCATCACTGCCAGCTTGCATGTCAGAATTGCTTGAGCCGGTATCGTTGCCGTTAGTATTTCACGTGCATGAATTCCAGCGAAGTTCTGGACCCCATTCACCAATTTCTTTCGTTTCGTCATTACCTTTGTCTGTTGACTCTTTCTCTTCTCTGCGAGCGCTCCCTGCTTCAAGAACACGACACAAGACAAGAAGATTGGCTCTTGCATCAAGACCTACTAAGACCATAGACAATGCTAAAGTCCATGCACCAAAGCCAGCAAACAAACGAAGGAACACAACATGAAAGTGCCAATGTCCACCTCCTGGAAGGATGCTTCCACGCGCCTTTGCCTCCCTGAGACCGTCTCTGCGGCAGTCGCGAGGAGTGCAGCGCCACTTCTCGGAAGCTTGGCAGGGACTGCTCTAAACCCGAATTCGGAGTTTGGGATGGCTTTCCAGGGTTTGAGTCGTCAGGTGTTGGGAATGGGGGTACTTTGTGGGGCGCACTAAAGGACAGTAGACCTCATCCACAGGGGAGTTGTAGGTCTGCCGGGAAGGTCCTTACAAAGACCGCTTGTAGCAGAGACTCCTTTTTGGAGATCGGTCCTCCATGCCATCTGCTTTATGGTTTGACGTACCGCACCAGGAATATGTAGTAGCTGCGATGCTTTCCTTATTTCCTTACTGATGCAGAAGCCAGGAACTTATATCTCATGCAAGCTGTCAGTTTGGAGGTCGGCAGTGGCTTTGTGCCCATATTATGATTGTGTGCTGTAATATGCCGAGCTCAACAAGAACCCTAAACCCGTGGCCCTAAGCCCTGAACATTTGGATATAATGCACTGGTATTGTACCTATCGCCGTGCTCCGTGTACTCAGCCAATGCAGGAGGCAAAAAAGCTCTGAACACTAGTGAAATGAGATAAGAAGGTTTGAAAATCCACAGCTTTCCCAGAGCTTCGGCAGCCTCTGACGAGTGAGGCCGTCACTCTGCCGGCGGACTCCAACCAGGCGCAAGGAATCGGCCAGTACGCCAAGGAACTGCTCCTTCTCCTGGCTTTCCATTGCTTCCCATAGGCTCCATGGTAGTTCATTTTTGGGATTACCTTCTCGAGTACGAGGGCCAGCCAACTGTTTTAGCAGCAGAAGCGAAAGCGAATAAGATCTAACTTGGTACACTTCTCGATTTAAAAAACGTCTTCTGTACGTGCCTGACTGTCTTCCTTGCTGCAGGGGCCATGCACCTGCGGAGTCAAGCGTGTCATCCTTGCAGCAGGGGCAGGGACATACACATCTGCGCTCCCCCTTTTGGCGTTCGCCAAAACACCACCAAACCCCAACAACCCAACCACACTTAAGCAGCTGAAGTCCAAAGGGCCCTCGGAAAAGGGTGGAGAGAAGTCCAAGTGGAGGAGTGCAAAGGAGTGTAGCCCAAGTAAGGCTCAAGACGCTCCTCAGTTTCTGAGGAAAAGGACTGTGGTTGCACAACAAACGGCGCAAGGCTTCACAGTGCTTGCAAAAGATGGGACATGTAATCCCCTGCACGGTTTTGCAGAAGCACGGCTCTTCACCAATCTGCAAGCTACACAACCTGAGAACCTGACCCAAACCGGACTTACAACCGGAAGCTAAGAAAATCGTCAAAAATCCAAAGATGAGCCGATACTGTACTCCAAGGGTCAGAAAGGATTAGCATGTCTCAAGCAGATATCCGCGAGACTGGCACGCCTAACAAACTAAGACCCACAAGCCACACCTTTAAGGACGTATGACAAAACGACCCCTAAAAACCACGCCTAGAGCACCTTACTTCAATCCACCTCAGGGACTCCATCCTGGTGCATGCGCTCGAGGCGAAAGCCCTCGTTCGTGTAAAAGATATGTTGTTGAGCATCTGACAACTGTTCAAGTGGCACTTCAATGCCATTCCTAATCAGAAACGCTGCAGCTGAAGCGATAGCATGATTTATTTCTTCATCAGCCTCTTCAATCTCACTGTCAGTCGCAAGCGGAGGAAATCTTGTTGATCTTAAGACCGCAACGTCATCAACATACCTCACCACAGCATCAGAGGAGCTAGCAGCCTCATTGGTACCTGCAGCCCAGGGTGTTAGAGTTGGCAAGTCAGGATAGAGACCTGCCTCACGCATCTCTTCATACTGGCGGTACAGCTGTTCGGGTCCAGGGACTACATCGATTCCATGCCTATTGATCTGGTCACGGTGGGGGTAAGTAGGGTCATACCTAGCCCTATACTCAGCAGCAGGAACTATCCCAACCCCTTGAACCCAGTGCGGAGGAGTTCCAGATGACGAGCTGGAGTCTGATCTCGTTGCCATATACAGCTCGAAATCTCGCCGCGCTCCGCGGTCATAATACTCAGCTGACCGACCAGACTGTATCGAAGAAGACTCTGCATCACTACGCGGGGATTGAGGTTCCGGCTCGTAGGGAAGGGCCTCAGGAACAACTACTACAGGATGATTTCTCGGGGCCTCGGGTGGAAGCTCGAGTGCGACAGTTCCTTGCATGTCAACAACCAGGCTGCTTCTTAACACGCGATCAATGAAGTTTTCCCAGCTATTAGGGTCCCCAAGATCAAAAAAGTTAGGAATTTCAATCCGGTTGGTGTTCCTTCGCAGCGGGGGAGGTTCAACCGTGGGGCTACGTTGCTCTGGTGCTCCAGGCAGGAGGGCCCACGGAGAAAACTGCACGTCTGGGCCTGCACCAGTGCTAACTCGCCTTGGCCTGGCACCTCTGCCACGGCAACGCAGTCCATCATCGTAGTCAGCAATGACTATAGGCTGCGGGATTTGCTCGGAAAGCGGAATGGGTTCAAGCTCTGGCTGCTCAAGGCCATCTTCGACTGGCTCAGTGCGTCGTGTGCTAAAGAACCTTCCCACAGCACAAAGCAGAAAAATCCCTATTGCAACCACAAGAACCGGAACTATTGAAAGCCACCAGCTGCTCCAGTCATCCTGCGTCGATCCTTCAACTCCTCCCTTGCCCTGAGCCTGAACAGGCAGCGAACCGACAACAAGCAGCGCCAACGCCTGCCTCAAAAGGTTTAGTTTCGCAACAGGGGCCTTAACCTTTGGCACATCGTACCCGCACAAAAGCAAGAGGTCTCTGACACGAGTCCAAGGCAGCACTTTCGTGGCAATATCTGCCAGCATGTGTTCTCCTTTTAAGTGCGACAGGTGCCACTTTCCAGACTGGAGCCTTTCCCGGAGGGCTTGAGACCGAACCCGCAGGTGGCGCGTGCGCCAATTGCCACTTTCAAAAGAAGCGATTGAGATGGATGCAAGGTTATCGCAGAAAGCCTGACACGCTGGAAACTGCTGAACCTCTGGGTGAAGCTCATGCACCAGCCCTTCAAGGGACTCCGTCAACGCTACACCCTCAAGAACCCCTAACAGCTCACACTCAGCAGTAGAGAGAGCTGTGAAGGGCTGCTTACCTGCACCCCAGAAGACTAGATTGCGACCGACCTGAACCAGGCCAGCTTCAAAGCTTCTGTCACCAGCTGGAGCGAAACTAGCATCAGTGAAAGATTCAAGCAGGTAAGGAAGAGCCGTGACGCGACGCTCATTATGCATGCCATGGGGAGGCTGATCTGCGGCGCACTGGTACTTCAGAGCGACCCGCTTGGTGCCTTTAAGATAGCAAAGGATATGCAGACCGAGCTTGAAAGCAAGCTCCGGACATCGACTCACCAATGATGTTACCCTCGCAACCCCATAGACAATGTCTACTCTTGTCTTTCCAGACACCCAAAGAAGCTCACCCGCAAGTGCCTGGGCCTTTCTCAAAGCAACAGGGGAAGAAGGTTCTGGCTCTTCTGGGTCCTGAACCTTTACAAACGGGCACGAAGTCTCTACCAGTGGAGCCCCAAGACTCTCTTCGTAGCGCTTTACAACATCTTCTATATACGATGCTTGGTGGACTAAGAGCGCACGGCCTTGTCTCTCTATTTCAACACCACAAAAGCGCACAGGATTCTTAGAGCTAAGCTGGTCCGGCTCCGAGCACTGCCAGATGTTGCGAATTTCAGCGAGGACTGCGGATGCATACTTTGCAACACCTCCAATCATGAGGTCATCGACATATACGACCAGAAGGCCGACAATGCCTCCTGACGATGCCGTCAGTAGCCATGCATTTGGCTCAGAAACTAGCTGTCTCAGGCTTATTTCAATATCTCCAATCTTAACGCGAACAGTCTTTAACGTGCGGTCCCTAAGTTTCGACCAACATTTAGGAGACCGGTCAAGGCCGTACAGAGCACCTTCAACCAACCACCGCTCAGCTCTGCTGACTACTCCGGCAAGCTGAAAGATACGGGGCGGATCAAGGACGATCAGCTCCTCGGTCCCTGACTCGACCAGACTGCTATCAACACCATCGGACAACTTCGCGTTTAAGAAAGCTGTTTTGACGTCTGTCACCCAGACATCCCAGTCGGGGTGCTGGGATATGAAAGCCAACGACAATCTTAGTGCGCTCGCGTCGATTCCACCGGCATATGTGAGCATACGATGTTCATACGCGGAGCCACCAGCTGAAGGCCCGTGATTTCCACATGCGACGCACCTAGCCTTCCTTAAGCCTGACACCGCCTTGCGAGTGAAGACTCCTTTTGAGGGCAGACGCAGCACCGCACGTCCCTGGGCAAGCCATTCCGCAATTTGTTGTTCCGAAATCGGCCTTAGCACTCCTTTTACACGGAGGCTGTCATATTCGGCACTTATCGCTGGCTTCCACAAAGGAAGTTCGCGTTTGACCTGATCGAGGCTCACAGTTTTCGTTTGCAACGGTGGTGGCTCATGGTCCGGAGCATGGGCATCAGAAGCAGAGGGTGACTCCCCCAGTCCTCTAAGACGAAGCTCTTTGACTGCTAAGGGGCACTTGGACTCCCCCGGGCCCGACAGCACCTGATAATAGGCAAGGAAGTTTTCTATGCCTTCAGAGCGCGCCTCGAGGACCTCACTGACAGCACTACTTGAACCACTAGCTGCCTGCAAGCTGCGAAGATTAACCCTAGCCCTATTAAGCTCTTCGATCCCCTGCAAGACACAGGTCTCTACCGGACCGTCTATCAGTACAAAGGACTCAAGGGGGTCATCGGGAGGGGTCTCATGATCATGGCAAGGGCTTAAGCTCCGAGCCTCAACCTGAAGGGAGGACGCAGCTTCAGCAGCCTCAAACCATAACTTCGACTCAGCACTGCAGGCCGCATCCAAACCATAAGCCTCTTCGCTGAAATCAGACTCCGCCTCAACCTCATCAACCAAGAGCCCGACACCGGAGGAAGACTCTTGGGCAGGAGGAGAAGTATCAATCAACGCACTCAGCTCATGCGGTCGATTTTGATTTTGAGTTGCAAGCCCCTGTTTGGAACAAGAAGGCGAAAGATTACTGTGGGCTCCCCCCCCTGCGTCAGACGCAGGGCAGCAAGAAGGCAACGGAAAGCCGGCGCAAGTCAGCTCCGCCACAACCGGGAGAGGAGCCTTCACACATCGTTTGAGAGTGAACGCAACAAGGAGGTATTTGTCGCCAGACCACGAGTCACCGGCATGAAAGCAGTGCGGTGAGAACGAGAACGAGGCACCAACCGTATCCCACATCATTCCCGGCAGCCACCGACGCGGAGCAACCTCTCGAAATTGCAAAACCCCTGGAGCGGCAGTGCTAGCAAACTCTGAACTAACCTCGATCCAAAGCCCGCCACGCAAATGCTCGGCTCCGCCAACAACATAGTTCAAGCTATCCGGAGCATTGAAGTAGTCACGGTGGATGGGGGCGCTGCAATTCACCGACGCTACAAAAGAAGTGAATGTAGCCTGAGGGTGATAGTGCTGTAGCACTGCCAAAAGGTACCTTTGCGTGTGCGGAAGCTGACGACTAGCCGTCGTCACACCAAGCACTCCCCCGTGCGTGAACATCCCAAAGCTACGATACTGAGTCCCAGGCCCCAGGGCTGACATAAAACCCCTGCGGATTGACTTATGGGGCAAGAGGCGCAGCACCTGAGACCA